ATTGCTGCTGTGAGTAGATGTGAAGTATAAACTCGATCGGAAATCATCCGCACTCAGTCACAAATTTTCATTTTCCTTAACTATTATCTACCTAAATGAATTGTAATTGGGTTAACATAGCGTTGGTAGGCATAGATAATGAACTGAATAATCAAATTACTCACCCTGGATACTTCAAGCTTCTGAACGACCCTGCCCCGGCGTTTTATCATCTGCTCGGTCCGTTCACTTTCTCCGGTGTTTGGTCGCTTCACGTTGACATGAAGAGTAGGCACAGCATCCTCCTTCAAAGACCTTTTTGTCTTGAACCCCATCGTGTTCATAAGTTGAGATTCGAAGCAGTCTGCCGCGAAGTGTGCCCCACAAAGAACGGCCTGAGACGATGGTGGGGGTGCATCGAAGTTCTTCCTTTTCGTTTGCACAAACCTGATCCATTGGCGGCGCAGATTGTGCTTTTGCGGAAACCTATGCAAGCTGTGCCCAGTATGCTTTGAGTTTGAGCAGTTCTGGGCAACACACTTTTTAACCATAATTAAATATTCACGCTTTTCATGGAGAACAGCTTCAGTGCAACATGAACGAGAAAGTGGGTCACGTGTATTATATAGGTCAACCCCAGAACCACCTGTAAAGCAGCAGCCAAGTTTGGTGTTTTTATGTAGGTCATTTGTGCTTCTGCGGAAACCTATGCAAGCTGTGCCCAGTATGCTTTGAGTTTGAGCAGTTTTTGGCAACGCACTTTTTAACCATGATTGAATATTCAGGTTTTCATGGAGGACAGCTTCATTGCAACATGACTGTTTCTCAACGAGAAAGTGGGTCACGTGTATTATATAGCTCAACCCCAGAACCACCTGTAAAGTACTGTAGCAGCCAAGTTTGGTGTTTTTATGTAGGTCAGCAAAATCGATCTAAAAGCGTGCGCTTTTAAAATCGATTTCTACATTTAAGGGAATAAGAAGATTTTTCATAAAAGTGCAAAATTATTAGCGTTTCTTTAACAGGCAAAAGCAATATTCTAGGCTGAAAAACAGGCCAATACTTCCCCTATAAAATGTTGAAAATTAAAAAAAAAAATTCAGCGTAAGTTGTAATTTACATTTATGCAAAGGTTTAATCTTAATCTTGATTGAGGTAGCATTATTGTTTTTATAAAATTCATTTTTTGTAGCCACATCAAACTGTCATCACCAAATCTTAACAACGTCATAGCGACCGGGTGTGTTGTGGCATTTAGTTGCGTGCCGTTTGTTGCACTGGACACCCGTCTTGTTCCTCCAGATGTCATGCCAGCAATGTGCATGGTGAGTTAGTTCCGTTTTTAATTAGATTTTGAAAGAAAAATGCCGTATATTTTTCTTGTCTCATTTATCGAAGGCCCTAAAGATTATCTTATGATGAAGGTGATGATCGTGTTCATTATTGTCGTTTAATAAAAAATAATAATGATAATAGTAATAATAATAATAATAATAATAATAATAATAATAATAATAAATACAAGAAACGGATATTAGTGATAATGCTACCACTGTGAAAATGCATTTAACCTACGCCAGGTTGTACATTGTTTTAAGGGAAATGATAGCAATTGAGGTTTTTCAATGAAGGTGCGGCATTTGTTTGTCGTGTTTGTAAACAGAGAGTTAGGGGATCTCTGGAGTAAGAATAAATGCAACTTGAAACTGAAATCATTGCACCATTCTGTTTCAGACATCAGGCTGGTTGCTGTCCATAGCATTTAGCCTCGCGTTCGGAGCCATGTTTGCCAAGACGTGGCGTGTTTATGTGATCTTTGGAAACAAGTCTGGGAGAATGAGAAAGGTATTGTTTTATAATTGTATCATATATCCTTTATTTTATAATTATTGCATTTGCGTTCAGTGCTTCAAACCGTTTAGACACCAACATTTTAAAGCAAGCTTTGGTCAGTTGGTGACCCGGTTTCGTCATAGGGTGCAATATAATTCCTCATCTAGTATACAAGTTAGAACCACACGGCAACATGTAGCCAGTAGCTCCGCTGAGGCGCTGTAAGCGGCCTTGCTCATTCACATTTTTCATCGACATTTTTATATATATATATATAAAGTGCAAAAGGACGTAAATCGATGTTATATTTACTACAACCACGTTTGGTTTAAGCTTAACCTTTACAGTTATATTTTAAACGGTCGACACATTTTGACTAAGTTTGCATCCAATAATTTTTAAAGCTGTGAAACATTTGATTAAATTGATAAAAACATGTCATACAGTTCAAGTCCAAAGTGATGTTTACATTACGTAATGAATATAATGGTTTGAAATTTATGCTGTATGTAGATGTGGTGTTGGCTGGAAATGTTGATAAAATTGCTTTATTTTGGTCAGTTAAATGACATTTTTCGCCAAATTTATTTTCCTAGCCCCTACAGGATAAACACCTGTTGCTGGGGGTGGGGTCTTTAGTAATGGTGGACGTGGCTGTAATGGCGACGTGGACAGTGATAGATCCGATGTACTTGACGTATCATATCCAGACAGACACGGTATGTTCACCGGAGGCGGAAGTCTCATTTCAGTATCCCAATGGTGCTTGTACCACTTCCGGTTAGGTGACACACATATAGAGAGTCATTTTGGAATACAGTGAAAGCAGCTGGCAGATAAACATTATGGTTATTATTGAACATAGTGACAGGCTGAATGTCAATAAATTTATTTTAGAAAAACAAACAAACAAACAAACAAATAAACAAAAAAGCATTCAACACTCATAACGTTCCCACGGTATGTATTCTGAAATATCTTATTTTTACGGCGCTTCTGATGGTAATTTACTCTTTAATACACAGCAGTAGTGTTGCCTAAACAAGGTATCTGGTACAGCACCGACCCATTGCTAATAAGACATCTATGGAATAAATGCCGACTACAGCATTGAGAAACTGCTTATTTTCGTAAGAGCTTATAGAGAATGCAAAATAATGTTATCGAGAAGAAATCATAAAATAAATAAATTGGTTAATAAATAAATGTACATACAAGTAACATAAATTAGAAATAGATGAATAAGAAAGAGAAAATGAGGTTAAAAAAACATGAGATATTTTAGAACTCAGAAAAGTTATAACAACTTTAGTTATTCCAGGAAACGGACGGGAAACGACTGATAACGAAACACGAGTCCTGTACGTCGGAGTTAAAGACGTATTGGATTGGCGGTCTGCTGGCAGAGAAGGGATTGCTTCTGATTTTTGGGTGTTTTTTAGCCTTTGAGACGAGAAGGGTCTTTGTGCCGGAGTTGAATGATTCCAAGTAGGTACAAATAAGTATTTGGTAAATTGAAAAATGATTAATATATATATATATATATAATTTCATTTTCGTAACGTATATGGATCGCATACGAATATTCTTTTTTTGCTATTTTTTGTCCATGTTTAAACATATTAGTACGTTTTCGGAATCTGCCAATTCATTTGATTCATCTAAAAGACATGTGAAATAAGTTCTATGCTCGGTATGGTTTCTTATTTACACACTTATATTGTGATAGGTATTGTTTAAAAACTGTTAATCTATTGTCATTAATTTTATTGGTTTATCTATCTCTCTATTAATTTCAAGTATAATTAAAATATCCCCACGTTCCAGGTATCTAGGCATGTGTATCTACAACACCTGTGTTTTGTGCGGAGTTGGCGCCTCCGTCGCCATGATTGTGTCGGAGAGGCCAGCTATCACATTCGCTTTCTCATCTCTTTGCATCATAGCGTCAGCTGCCACGACGTTAGGCTTGCTGTTTGTTCCTAAGGTAAATAAATACACCACAAAACAGGCACACATAATAATTTTAAAAATGCAGGTGAAATTAAATGCTCTGTTTTGATTAGGGCCATGTTCCCATCCTTTTGAATTTTTAAACGTTATTTCATGTTTTAGAACCTAATATGGTAGTTCACAGTATCATTTTTTTACGACTTGAAATGTTCATCTATACCGTTTGGTCCAATTTCAGATTAGTTACGTTAAAAAACACCCCAATGGAAAGCAACCTGATGGCATAACGTCTACTTTCAAAGCCAGTTTAAGAAACGTTCATAAAGAACTTTCAAATGCAGCGTCCGTTTTTAGGAGCAGTGGCCAGGGTAATGAAGATAACCTAAGTGACAGAAAGAGCGCGAGTTTAAATACACCTTTGGCAGGATTGCCAACGGTTAGGTTTTATTCTGAACTTGGCGGTACGGAAAACGATTCACACAGCAGGTCTCAGAAAGCTAAAGTCACTGGAATAATAAACCAGTCGTTCTCCACGTGTGACGCAGACGAGAATGGAGGAGATCACGAGCCAACAGTTCTCCCGTCGAGCGGCGCCACGTGTTCCAACGTTGAAAACCGTTGTTTTAAAAACCACGTGGTTGTTGGTAGTTGTACGGGGTTATATGTACCAACAGTTAATGAAGACAGTCGCCTTTAACAACAATTGATTAAACAAGCAAAAGGAAAGAAAAAAAACCCAGGCACTAACCCGATTTTCTCAGAAGCAAAAAAATATTACAAAGAATGGTCTGATTCTGCCACAAGGCCTAATTACCATATGTTACGCGGGAGAAAGTGAAATATTCAATTAATAGCAGGTAAAACATTCTCCAATGTCACATAAATTGGAAATATTTTTAAAATTTATGATAACACATTGGATCATTTGGTATAATTGGTCTGGCATGACACTTGCTAATTTTAACATTATAATGTATGTATTAGAGGTTTTGCTGACTTGTATGTAATGAGTTATGAATAATTTCACTCAAATAATGATTTTAGTAATAAAGGAATTTATACGAACCTTCTACGTGTTTAGACAACTGTAATTTCTTGTGGATCATTATTCCACCTGTCTCTACACTATGATTCGACGCTTAATATTGATTTTAATCAAAAGACGTGCCTATTTGGGCGAAAACATGCACTTTTAAGGCAAGACAACTTTTGACATACAACTCGAACAAAATAATTCTCTAGACATGTGCAGGATCAAATCGCCGCCTTGGAAATAAGAATCCTGTTTTTTTGACACATAATAATTTAACTACTTTGATAGATGATGTATAATTATGATTAATGATACTATCAGTAAACCCGCCCGAATATGTATCAGTTTGGGGTTATTCACCAACCTTTTGTATACGTAAATTTGATAAAGTATCAAACGCATTTCACTTAATAGTGAGTCCTGTTTAGACACAAAATGCTTTTATCGTAACATTCGCAACAATTGACAAAGGACCGAGGCATGCAGCATCTATTTCACTGGCTTGAAAATTTACCGAGTCTTGCCGACGATGTGGTCGAACAATCGGAACAAGAAAAAATTCTGACGCATGATTTTGACGTTTGGACTAAATGTTTGACTAACCCTAACCATTATAACTAAATGGGAAGGGAGGCGTGCTTTCTGTTACACAATACCTTCTGTTTCGTTACAACGGTACCGCCAGCAACCGCTTTCTCAAAAGAACTTAAGCCTAAATTGGGTCTTAACTTTTTGACCAAAATTTGGTCAATTTAAGTTCAAGAGAAATTCACGGAAGTCGACTGTGTATTTGACCAAATATTCTTCATAACCTCCTTGTTTTAAAAAAGTGCAATATTCCTCCATACTTTATTTAGAAATAGGCGTTCTTTTCAATTGAATCTTTTGATTTGAAAGTTTAGACCCTTCGGACACATTTGGAAACGTCCCCATCTATAGCTGGCATACAAATGTCCATTTCAGATATTTCATTTTCTTTTAAGGCAGTTAAATGCAACTTAAAGAAAGTCGGTTGTGTTAACTGATGGTTATTTGACGAAGAAAACTTGATCATCGAATGAATCAGTAAGTGAATCGTTTCTTGTATGTATAAGCTGACGCACGTTTAGATTTCGTTAACAGTTAATGATTTGCGTGCTCATCTGTGTCATTTAAACATTTACTTCTATAAATCATAATATGTAAATATGAGCGATGTAGTTTTCCATCGAGGGAGGAGGTTCAATTTAGGAGACTCACATATAAACGGTTTGAGTATAATGTTTCATACAGTGTAGTGCTTGCATAATGGATGTTTTATTAACAGATTTGCATTTAATATATAATTGCAAGCGATTTTATTATAATGTTTCATAGTACCTATACATAATAAATATTTTAAACAGATCTTCGTTTAGTGAATCAATGCAATCTTTTTGCTTTTGCTCTTCAGAAGGCGCATTCTTGGCTAAGTTAGGACGTCTTATCTTATCACGCTTGCGCCACTTCGGCAGATAATGTGATATCGATTACTAGCCAGAGGAAACCGACCTAATCCCCCATTTGCCCCGTCCACCACCCCTGCAATTAAGGTAAGGAGCATGACAAAACTTTTGATCTTATTCATTCTTTCACGGTGGCGATAAGGCAATTAGATTTAAAAAAAAGATATACTAAAACGGATAGATAAATAAGAGGGGAATTGAACACCCAAACTGGAGAGACCTTGAGTAGATACATGTAGATCATTTTAGCATTTTGTGTCTTTTACACACATTGCACTGAAAAACAATATGTGCATGGAGTAACTACATAAGTGAGCTTTCTTCGTCCCAAATGTTTCCATTAAGTATAGCGCAGGTGTTGCTGAGCTTACTTTCACGATGTGGATAGCGGTCCCATGCACACTCATTCCCTGGTATGAACAGTTGCCAAGATCTTAATATAGCATATGTTTTATCATTATAATTTTTTGTAATTGATCACATTTAATTTATTGATCGTATATTGGGACAGCACGTTGCGCACATTTTTGTATTGTATTGTATTGTATTGCATTGTATAGCATTTTGTATTGTATGCAACAGATGTACAAATTATGCGAACAAAATGTTTTCACCTCTCCCATGGGTCCCCTTTGGCTAGTACGAGTAGGCTGAAATTCACATGAAACACCCATTTTAGACAGTTGCATGATCATTACATGGCAACAAAAGATTGATTGTCATTCTAGCACTTTATACAGAAGAGCAATTCTGTTAAATAATTCAAAGAATGATACTTGTTACAAGGTTTCTATTTCAACCAGCGCACTTAGAAGTGTATTTTATTACAGAGACGGATCAATGAGTAGTTTTTAATGCGGGCATTTAGAGTGGCTTCAATTCAGCATAAAATACATATACCTGTACAAGGCATTTGTCCAAAAATCTGCAGGTTGGCTTTCAACCTGCCGGTTATATGATGGTTGGTTTGAGACATAAGATAAATGTCCAAATATTTGCTTTTGTAACCAATCTGTTAGCTTGGCGTCAGCTCTAACAGGCACACACGAACCTGTCATATAATGGAAACAGGAAAAGTACATCTGGCTTATTCGATATGTTCAACGCAACAGTTTGATGAGTTCTTTTCATTGATTTATTCATATCAGTTTTTCATGTATCACGTGTTTGGGTTTACCAAGTGTCGCACACATTAATATTATGGCAGCGATTCGTGACCTACAGATGAATTTTTCCGTTACTGGCAATTCATTAATAAATTGACGGATTTCTTCTGTGTTAAGCTTTGCAGTTTTATGTACAAAGAGACGCTGAAAAACTACGCCTTTTAGGTACGCAAGGCGAGGAACAGTCGGCATTGAACTGGGCGACATAAAATGAGAGCTCAAATCAATCTAGATAATATGTTTTTACATCAACCGTGTCAACCTTATTGGTGTATGTATTCCTGTGGGCTTTTGTGTCAGTCAAGGAGATGCATGTTTAAAGGTGATACTGTGACTGTGTAAAATACGATCAACAACGCAGCTTTGCACTTGGAGTTGTTATGAATTGATATCTTGGTTTGGCTGAATTTCAACACTGTTTCCCGTTATGGGATTGTACTGCACGGTATATGTAATATAATTTTGCCGCGCTTGCTTTATGTATCTACTACGAGTTGGTTCAATCTTCGTTACAGTGTTCGTTTGGAGCCTTATTTCGGAGAACGGCTTCCCTTTAGGTGACACGGCGACCGATAACACGACGTATTCAGCGCCTGGGACGGTTAAACCGAACATCGGGTCTCCATCATTGGAGCCAATAGGTGGAAATGCGTCGCAAACGAAAGAGACATCCCGCGTACGGGAGTCTAGTATCAATGTGACGACTCGCAAGGGAGCGAATGACACCACAGTAAGGCCAAAGTCGCCAACTGTGGCCGACTTCGCTTTTAACAGATCACCTGCAACCACTGCCGCACATTTTTTACAAGAATCACTTCACTCGTCCACTGATTCTCAGTTACACCTTACAACACCGAGGACGATGAATGTGACAACAACCACTTTGCAGAATTTAACACTCGTCATGTTTGCTGAAATTAACGTGAAAGAGGGCTGGAACAGTGCTGGGGTGGTACCAGCTTTGGAAATGGCGGTTCATGACGTGAACGCTGACCCAAACGTCCTTCCAGGGTATCATTTGAACTATGTTGCTATGGATACAAAGGTAATGTGATTTTAATTTTTTTTGAGCATGTTCATAATCGTTTTTTGTTGTTCTTTGTTACTTATATTTCCTTTTTCACCCAAGTTTACTTCACATCTTTCTATATATTATATGTGATATTGAGTTTTTCCAATTAACTATAGCCTTTGTATGTCAATTAAGATATATCTACCAAATCATTTATCTGTTAAATTACCATGCGTGAAACAGAAATCGGCCAAGTTTTCAATGGAAAAAAAACGCAACAATAGCCTTTTACTGTACAATAGCTGAATGAGCTTCCTTTTTGCACAAGTATTTTTTTTCAAAGGGTAAAATAAAAAATGGAACAATATCCTTTCAGTCTCAAATGAAAAAGCTTCCATTTACTAACCACTTTTGTGCTGCATGGATGCTTCGATTTTCTAATTTTCCAGGTAATGTAACTGGAATAGAATTGGTTTTACGCCACCAGGTGTGCTTTCATTAAAACCGGAAATATTCACAGCGAGTAAAGGGCTATTGCATCAACTTCTTGTTGATAATTTCACAGTGCAATTTTATTTGAATCAGCCAATTTCACAGAAAAACAAGGAATTTATCGCAAAATTTAAGCTTTCATCACATAATCTAGCTGTAGGACTGGCCGGTAGACAGACACAAATAAGAAATTAAAAATCTGTAAGTTGTGCAATTTAAACGATGTAGAGGATGAATTTCACTTTATCTTTAAATGCCCTCACTACAATACGATTAGGCAGAAATATATCAAGAAATTTTATTATACAAAGCCAAGCGGCTTTTAACTAATTAAATTATTATCACTTAACAATGTCTCACAATTAAACAATTTAGGAAAATACTTAAAATGTGCATCGGAGCTAAGATTAACGTCAGTCCGATGAATTATTATTATTATTATTATTATCGTTATTATTATTCGTATCAGTAGTAGTTGTTGTCGTAGTGGTAGTTGGGTTGATATAACTTTATATTGTCACTGTATTACATTCTGATGAGCCGTAGGACTAAAGGGTTTAATAAAATGAAATATTAAATTAAAACCGGTCGCTTCTGTTATCCCCGTTATGCGATCCGCCCGCTTTCTCTTTTACTTAGAATGGCCTGGCTTCGTTTACATACGGGACCAACTTAGACCAACTTCAAGTCTTCTTCAATTCATCAATTCTTCACTTCATGCCACTAAGAATGAATCAAGTTTTCAGTTCTTTTAAAAAGGGCAATTAAGTGACAATAGAAGGTCTTATATATAATGTGCCCATCCAACGGCGTAAATTGACGTATTTTAGTTAACATGCGGTCTACCCGGTAAGGTGTGCCCTATGCCTCGCTCTAGATTTTGACCCACTTAGGTCAGGCTATTATAACCCTAACCATTATAACTAAATGAATGTTGGACTCTTTGTTACACAGACCCTCAGTTCCGCTTCACCGGTATGTGTGAAGACCCTTGAAGAAAAAGTGAAACCGAGATAAAGAGGGCAAGCAACGGAAAGTAGTATGGATAGAATAACATTTTTTGTCTGTATGTTAAGGGCAATGATTAGAACTAAATTATGTAATATTTACAAATATTTACAAATGATGAATTGTGCTCCGTATTACTGTTTGGAAGTATCAAAACTATTTATGTTTCCCTGACGACATAATTAAGGCCCCTAATATATTATCTCCTCCGACGAGACATCGAGCCAATGTTTGACAGTTTTCAAACTGACGGATTTGACTGCACAAATCCCACTGGTGATGATGATTGGTTTATCAAATTAGCCAGCTTGGGATTTTAAGGTTAGTTAGTACAGCTAGTTAGTACAGCGCAGGTCAGCGTCAACAAGCTAGCATTTGCCCTGAAGTTGCTAGCCCCTGTAATTCGGTATAGGGCAAAGGAAAATTGATGGCAGTTTTTTCCGCAAATTTGCGCGTACATGGCAAGGAAAGGGAGTTTCTCCCCGGCCGATGAAGCAACCTTTTTTTACCAATTATTATATGTGAAAAATCGGCCCTGAATCTCTTAAAATGTGTGTTGCTTCTGTCTTTTTGTATATACCATCGAGAATTGACTTAAACGTGCATCCCTTGACAAAGCATACATGTAGGGCGAATCTCCCGGTATAGTTTGTCTCCGGATCCATTAACAAATTACTTGAGGATGATAATGCAATAACCAACTTTTCGTTCACCCGATTGGGAATAAGCCTCATTATGATTATTAACGCATTATATATTTCTCAATTAACACTGTTTAAGGTTGGTCTACATGTTGCACTCTCTTGTACAACGCTGGTGGCTAACCTATTTAATGGCCATTTTGATGTGGACATATATATATTAAATGATAGTTAAGTGGTTTCCAGATTATTCCTTTATTTGATCTGGTTCAGATTTTCATCGATGACTACCTGGTATCCTTACCTGCTGAAACAAGTTTGGTGTTCGTTAATAGCCTTAAGAAACTCGTTTTGGTGACAATTTGCCCCTCATTCTGAACGGACTGGGTGGTTTTGTTTGGTTGCAGCAGCATATCCTGAAGGGCAGTGTGCCCTGTACCCTGGTGGTAAAATGTCGATACATTCGGCGTGGCCTCTGTGTAGGTGTATCAGTCTGGGAATAACTCTATAAACTGTGCAGACCATTCCGTTTGACATAATAATCTGTGTGGCAATGACTGTCTTTTTCGTGCCATTCTGGCACGGATTAACGATTTTGTAAAACACTGCTTAACTCATTTTAAGCACTACAAAACCGACCGCTTGCATGCAAAATTTCAAATTCTTCGATGCAGTAGCTGCCGACATATGGTTACTTTGTGACAGAACCACGCTTTGCCAAAGCCATGCTTTGACTAGCCCAACTGAGCTCTACCCAATTAAATCACTGCATATTACACAATGTAGCAGTGCAACAGACAGTCAGTAAATTGGTAGCGACACCCCTGGCTTCACACTTCTCCAGTCAGATATATTATATGAGATCTGACTTTTTTGGAAAAAGGAACGCATTTTTACCGAGGTATACCTTTGAAACTATAATATTCCATATTGAATCTCAAGTCTGTATCTATGAAATACGCTTCCCTTGCAGAAACGGCTTTAGATCACTGCCAAATATTCTTCAAAGAAGATTAAAGAAGTGAAAAAATGTGGTGACAAAAAATGAGGGACATGTTACCTAATCATAGAGGGCCAATCATTGACTTTAAATACAGGGAATGTACCAACACCAAATGACAAAATGACTTGCAATGTCTATCATTATTTATGCAACAAAGAAAAATGAAAATTGTCACTGTCTCTAAAATAAGACAATAGACAATACAGTTGCCTAGTAACAATAAATACACAGTCGTTTTATTGTCTGAAGAGCCTGAAAGAGGCGAAAACGTTTACAACGAATAATTAAACATTCCGATCGTTATGTGACTTGTTTTGACTTTTAAAATATATTTTCTGTACCAAGATTAACTGATTCTCTTTGGGATACATGTATATTTCAGTATATAATTCATATTTCAGTGTAATGAGGGAGCTGCTGCCGCCGCTCTGGTTAGAGCTATCCAACGTCCACCCCAAAAGATAATACTGATAGGTGGAGGGTGCAGTGTATCCACGCTTGCCACTGCTCAGACGACTCCCTTTTTTAATCTTATTCAGGTACATTCACAACCAAGTTGGGCTGCTGACTAGCTGATCCGCGGATCAAATATGGGCGCCCACTTGAAAGCTTGCCGCATAATACCCTAATATACACTTTGGGGATTACCCGGTAAGCGTTCAAGTACAAAATGTATGTCGGCCATATTTGATCTGCGAATCTGTTAGTCTACATTCTTTGCAATAATTCTACATTCTTTGATCAGATGTTATCCCTTAAACGCACGGACAGACAAATAGACGTACGCACGAACACACGGACGCACAGACGGGCGGAATGACATGATCTCCGCCATCTGCCAGGACAGAAATGGTCTCATTGTGCCGTGAAATTTAACATATCAAGCTAGCTCTTATCCGTCTTCTTGTTGTTTCATTTATGAAAGGGCAATTTCTCTTAATCAAACATGGCCTTTTCAGATCTCATACGGTTCTTCACGTCTGAAGCTTTCGAAGAGAGACATCTACCGTACGTTTTGGAGGAACATCCCCACCAAGGGCTCTTATCTCAAAGCTCATTTGGCCATTGTAAAGCACTATGGATGGAAACGAGTTGCCACCATAGGAAACGAATGTCAAGAGGTACATATATAAAGTAAGAGAGAGAGAGAGAGAGAGTCATTTAGTTAGTCGGAAAGACAGCCAGCCAGACAGACATATATATTGTACAGTCGTTGAAAAAAATTCATTTGTTTCATAATCATATGCAAGTAAGACCCATTTTCTCTCCCCCCCCCAAAAAAGTCAAAATACTTAATTAAGACTGCACATTGGCGGCCGGATATCTTCAAGCGCCACGTAGAGATTAAAATTTTATGATTGTGGATCAAAATATAATATTACTTAGATCGACAGAATTTAAAAAATCAAAACCAGTTTTGGCAACCTCAACCAAAATCTTTCTGAAGCTTGTTAAAAACATTTGTATCTTTTGTCCACAGGATATGGCAGTCCTTCACAAGTTATTTCAAAGCAATGGTATCGAGAACTTGGCTTACCATACCGTAGGCGATATAGACGAATTGTCAGATGTACAGATACAGGACCTCAAGGTTTGTAAACAGAAGGTGCACTCTAAGAACATGTTGATCCGAAGACTAACAGATCCGCGGATCAAATATGGCCAACCAACTTGAAAACTTGCTGCTGTAACAGACACCAATGTGTTTCTCGATGGGATTACGCGGTTGTAAATTCGGCCATAATGGCGTCTTCTCTAACAAGTCGTTGGTCATAAAAGTCTGTGTCCACATTTAGGACTGTTTTCTCGTATGTCTACAGCACTAGCAGAACTATAATTGTTTAGGTATATTTATTTCACATTTACATTTACCGCTGCTGTAATTAAAGCTGATAATATTTTCTTGTAGAATCGTGACGCACGCATTATCATCTTCGACGGCTATGAGCAAACCTTCCGTAGAATTCTTTGCAAGGTACACATGTAAGCTAAAGGTCAATGTAAGGTCAAGGTGATGATAAGGTCAGTTTAAGTGAAGGATTTAAATAAGGCCAAGGTGAAGTGGGTTTACTGTTATGACTGCCGTAAAGATACGTAGTATGATGAAAGACGTAAACAACATTAGCTGAGGAATTACAGGGATGGATTTTTGCTGTAAATTAAGCGCTATCTATCGCAATCCACAGGCTTATCGGTTCGACATGAGCGGCGGGAAAGTGGTATGGATATTCAACGGGTGGTATAGTAAAGGCTGGATGTCAGTCAATGATACGGTTTGTGATCCGTCGGAGGTCAAGGCCGCCGCCGAGCACGGGCTGACCTTGATGGAGCTTATGACCTTTGAGAAGTTTACTCATGGTCAGGAGACTATAAATGGGCTGGTAAATCATTAACGCAAATTTATATATTTAACTTGTTCATAGTGGATCTAGCGCAAATGAAGCTAAATACTGAAATTGATGGTGAATTTTACATGTAAAATAATGCCCTTTTCTAGTACTTTCTCCCTCATTTATGCAATATTAAATATGTGGCACCTGTATTATATAAATAAGATCTTTTCCACATATATTGCCTACGCAGTGTTTTCTTTGTTAAGTTTTAAATCATCTAACGTTATTTCTCATACGGTACTTGTTTGTACATGTACAGGTATTTTTTAAAATTTTAGACATTTGATCAGTATGAAAGACGCTATAAACAGTGGCCCAGTTTTGAAAAGTATGGTTTTAACGAGTACCACCCCTATGGCTATGACGCCATATGGGCAGCTGCATTGGCCCTGAACTCTTCTATTCCTGAAGTGGCTAAACAGGCAAGTTTTAATTCATTTCCATGTATGCGAACTTGTCTTACTTGCAGATTGTAATTGTTAGTTGGAATGAAAATCGCCTGCAAAAATAACTGACAGTCAAAAAATTGTCAATGCAAAAATTACCAATGCCGCGAAATATTCCATTAAGTGATTGTATAGCCAGCTACCCGGTAGATGTGTTTCAAGATATTTGATCCGTCATGAACACACAAACAATTTGATAGAACTTGCTCATCACTGACGAAAGTTGCTGACACATGCAGTAACATGTATTGCAAGTTTTAGAGATGGTCAACCTAACTTATTTGGTCAACTTAGCATGGCTTTTGCCGAAGAGAATTCCATAAACCTGCGCTTGTTCCGAACAGTTAACCCAATTTATTATGATTGGTGCATTGGTCATTGCATGTCAGAACCAGACAATTTAGTGCGGTATAGAGGAGCGGACCTCTCGATATGAAAATGACTTAAAACGCTTTTGCTACACCTCATATTTTGTAAATAATACATCAGATAGATATTTTTTCATGTTCACTCAGGTCGTCACGGAGGTTTTTGACGGTGAAACAGTTGTCAGGCCAAAGCGGCTCGATGACTTCACCTACGAAGACAGTCACCTGTTGGATGTACTCATGGAGGAATTGAAGAAAACAAATTTTACAGGAATGACAGTAAGGGAAATACATATTGGGTAGAAAAAAGCGTTCCTAAAGTATGATAAACGTTAATTTCTTTTGAGCCTGTTTAATTTTTCTGGCCACATTTTCTTTGATTTGAATCAATTTTATTATTTTAGTGGAAATCTTAACACTCGCTGAAGCAAATATGTGTGACTTAAAGAAAAAGAAAAAAAAATATTTAAATTTGAACGATCAAATCAGACAAATAAATAAATAAATAATGGAATGATACATTTGTGCGTCGTCAACGAATTTTTAAAACAAATATTGTTTTAGGGTCCAATGTCATTCTATGAAAACGGCAGCAGGCCATGGCAAATTGAAATCACCCAAGTACAAGGTAATATTTCCCGAAAGGTGTCTAAAACTATAATAACATCTCCGTTTCTCCCCCCTCTCTTCCCGCTATCTCTCTGTCATAGGCAGCATGCATCCAGACTGAGTTCGTCACGTAGATTTTAAAAGTCACATCAATCAACCGGCTGATATGAACGACTTAATGAGAAAATCGAAGATAATAATAAGTGAATGCACGTAATCGGTTAAAAACGCCATTGTCATCAATTCTGTTTGAGTTGTCATAGCAACTGTACGTCGTATTCATGGTTACCGTTTCGCTGTGTTAAATTTCAGACTCTGTCCAAGTGGCTGTTGGGGTGCACAACGAGATCACAGGGCATATAAGCATTGATGAATCGTTGTTAAAGTGGGCTGGTACGTACATGTACACGTATTTCTTAATATGTTATGATTTAATTATGCTGTAGGGAAGTTTATTACCTTTCACAAGTTCGCTTCGTGCTGTTTAGATAATTTATTGACCGCTTCGTGTACAGGGTTGTTGTGTAATCTCTCAGTTAAGTGTACAGCTTGATATAACACGGGCCAAGGGAGCGTTCAGATAAACCCATCGAAATAGATGGATCAATCTAACTCTGCCGGGATTCTTGCCTAAGCGCAGTCAATGTTATCAGCTAAATAATTGTCGACCAGCAAGGGGGTAATTAACTATAGTGTGCACTCGGCTCTCAGAAGCTCTTTCACTCGAGATGGCGTGTGAGGCAATTGAGCTGATGACACTGAAGCGAGAATCAATCGATTTGGATCGACCCAACTAATATGATTTGGTTTATCTGAAGAAACTTTTATTAGAACCTACACGATACTTTGGGAAACTTATCGCAATGGATACACGCGTCAAATGTTTTTTTTTTTTTTTTTTGCTTATCGTATATGCTTATTATAGTAACTGCATTCCTGAAGGTCACTTTATGGACATCGACATATTGGATTCAAAAAAGTAACAAATTTATTTTAAAAAATTAATATAATAAATAAATAATGAAATAAATAAATATCGATTGTCCTCTCGTCTTCTAGGTGGACAAGTACCCCTTGACCACACCCCTGTCGTAAACAGAATGTCGTACATAGATGGCGCTCTGGCAGCTGTCATCACTGGTCTCGCAGGGCTTGGGATTTTACTTGGGCTGTCTCTGCTAGTGTTTAACATCGTCTTCATGAATCATCGGTAGGTGGCGCTTTATGACAATTTAACAAATGGGCGTCATGTCAGAACCTTGTTCATGTTAGTATTTGTGGTTTTTGGTCATACAACGGGGATTCTACACAGTCATATTGAGTTCCCACATCTTTCATGTTGTCTCTTCTCGTCATGGTAACTACAGTGAGTGAATAAAAATTTATGAGCAAAACAAAACTAAATTAAAATTTAGTACGAAAATTCAATTCAATGTCTTTCTGTCGGTAGTGTACCAAATGTTCATGTATTATACAAGACCCACTCAGTTTCTCTGAACTGCATTGCATTTTATAAATTAATCAAAATTAAATTGAGCATTAAATGTGAGTAATATTCATAGACTATTAAACTTGCTGCCTTGTTACACATTGAACGACCCTGCCGCGGCGTTTTATCATCTGCTTTGTGCGTTCACTTTCTCTGGTGTTTGCTCGCTTTACACTGGCATGAAGAGTAGGTACAGCATCCTCCTTCAAAGACCTTTTTGTCTTGAACCCCATCGTGTTCATAAGTGGGGATTCGAAGCAGTCTGCTGCGAAGTGTGCCCCACAAAGAATTGCCTGAGACGATGGCAAGGGTGCAGTGAAATTCTTCCTTTTTGTTTGCACAAACCTGATCCATTGGCGACGTAGATTGTGCTTTTGCGGAAACCTATGCAAGCTGTGCCCAGTATGCTTTGAGTTTGAGCAGTTCTGGGCAACACACTTTTTAACCATAATAAATATTCACGCTTTTCACGGAGAACAGCTTCAATGCAACATGCGGACCAAGACTGTTTCTGAACGAGAAAGTGGGTCACGTGTATTATATAGGTCAACCCCAGAACCACCTGTAAAGTAGCAGCCAAGTTCGGTGTTTCGGTGTCAGCAAAATCGCTCTTAAAGCGTGCGTTTTTAAATCGATTTCTACACTTAATGGAAGGAGAAAATTTTGAATACATGTGCAAAATTATTAGCGTTTCTTAAACAGGATTTAAAAAGCAATGTTCAAGGCTGAAAAACAGGCTAATACTTGCAATTTCAAATGTTGAAAATTAATTTACATTTATTCAAGGCTTTAATCTTAATCTTGATTGAGGTAGCTGTATTTTTTTTAATTTCATTTTTTGTAGCCACATCAAACTGTCATCACCAAATCTTAACAACGTCATAGCGACCGGGTGTGTTGTGGCATTTAGCTGCGTGCCGTTTGTTGCACTGGACACCCGTCTTGTTCCTCCAGATGTCATGCCAGCGATGTGCATGGTGAGTTAGTTTCCTGTTTTAAATTAGATTTTGAAAGAAAAAGGCAGTATATTTTTCTTGTCTCATTTATCATGATCGAAGGCCCTTAAGTTTATTTTATGATGAAGATGATGATCGTGTTCATTATTGCCGTTTAATAATAATAATAATAATAATAATAATAATAATAATAATAAATAGAAGAAACGGTTATTAGTGATAATGCTACCACTGTGACAATGCATTTAATTTACGCCAGTTTGTACATTGTTTTAAGGGAAATGATAGCAATTGAGGTTTTCCAATGAAGGTGCGGCATTTGTTTGTTGTGTTTGTAAACAAAGAGTTAGGGGATCTCTGGAGTAAGAATAAATGCAACTTGAAACTGAAATCATTGCACCATTCTGTTTTAGACATCAGGCTGGTTGCTGTCCATAGCATTTAGCCTCGCGTTCGGAGCCATGTTTGCCAAGACGTGGCGTGTCTATAAGATCTTTAGAAACAAGTCTGGGAGAATGAGAAAGGTATTGTTTTATAATTGTATCATATATCCTTTATTTTATAATTAATTCATTTGCGTTCAGTGCTTCAAACCGTTTAGACACCAACATTTTTAAGCAAGCCTTGGTCATATTGTGACCCAGTTACGTCATAGGGCGAAATATACTTCGACATCTATTATACAAGTAAGAACCACACGGCAACATGTAGCCAATAGCCCCGCTGTGATGTTCTAAGCGGCCTTTCTTATTGACATTTAATACGTAAAACGATGTTATATTTAATACAACCACTTTTAGTTTAAGCAAAACCTTAACAGTTATATTTTAAACGCTCGTCAAATTTTGACTAAGTTTGTTCTTAAAGGGATAATAACTCGTATGAGATATTAACTTTGAATGTATCTGTAATTGTTTTCTCTCGTTTTTGTCAGGGTTTCTATGAGAGATATCAACCTAACGAATTAGATTCCAAGCATCCATTTTGTTCTAAACACACCAAGTGGAATACTTAAAGGGAAAATTACTCTTCGTACGAGATCTATATTTCACAAAAAAAAAAAAAAACAAAAAAAAAAAAAAAACAAA